GTCAAATAAATAAATAAAATCTTTTAAAAAAAAAAAAAAGGAATAGCATGGAGGACAGTAGGAGAAGGAAGGGAAAAATTGGCGGGGGGGGAATTGGAGGGAGAGATGAACCATGAGAGACTATGGACTCTGAGAAACAGGGTTTTAAAGGGGAAGGGGGAGAGGGGATTGGTTAGCCCGGTGATGGGTATTAAGGAGGGCACGTACTGCATGGAGCACTGGGTGTTATACGAAAACAATGGATCGTGGATCACCACATCAAAAACCAATGATGTATGGTGACTAACATAACATAATAAAATTAAAAAAAAAAATGCATTGTTTTGGTTGGAGTATATAAAGAAAAATCTGGCCTCCACAGACCTGTAGTTGGAAACGGGACAAGCATTGTAATAGCCTCTTTAGAGAATTGTGGATATTCTTCATTAATCTTACCCCCAACTGACGGATGGTGGTTTCTTTAAAGGTCAGTTGTAACTGGGAAGCTAAAACCATATGGATGGATTTCTGTGCTCTTAACAGTAAAATCCAGTGGTCTGTCTTGCACTTTGAATGGCTCTTTGATACACGCGTGATTTTGTAATATCATGTGTTGGTCACTTGGAAAATACTGATCTACTGAGTGATGCAGATCTTTTCAAATGTTGACACAATTATATAATATCAAAGAACACATCTTTGTTAATATCAGCATCATTCCGATCAGAAAAGTCTTTAGCTACTGGGAATTGCTCAAGTTCACAAGGGTCGATACAAGTTTTCAGTTCTAATCCTCATTTGAAAACTGGAAATTTAATATCAGCAACAAACACGATTCCTTGTTTTTACCGAAGTGACAGGTCACTTTGTTCCATCTGATAAAATGTCTGCCAAATACCCATGTTTGAATAATTAGAGTATGTCAAATAAAAATGGTATTCTGTGAAAAAAAAAAGCAGCTGGTTGAGCTCCCAGCTCTCACAAACCAGTGCTTTTCCTTGAGAGAACCAGAGTACCTCGGGGGGCAGCAGCAGGACCGGGTGTGCATGCCCCATTTTGTCACACAAAATCCAAAACTGTGTCTACCCAAGAGCCAAGATTTAATGAAATTATAATTGTTTTGCATCAAAGACAGTCTTCAGTGGAACGCACATTTTTTCCGTGAGCGGTGGCGGAGGGCACGGTGATGATTGGTGGCGTTCAGGGCCCTGCTCTGCCCACCATGGCTTTTGTGTCAGGGCAAATGTCAGCTCAGTGAAAAAGGCAGACGCATCCGAGTATCGTGATGGCAGTAGCTTGGGCCTTGCAGGCCCGTGGAGAGGACTGCCGAGCACACTTTGAGAGCCGCTGTTGTGTAGGAAAGTGTTGAGGTTATTAGGAGTCCCTGTTCCTTCCTTCTGCTCAGGCCCGCGGGCAGCACCAGGACAGCACTGTGCCCGAGCCTGCATTTCAGGAAGCGGAGAGAAAGCCACATGCAGAAAACAGTGTCCTTGGCACCCCGGGAACTTATTTCCCAGCTTTATTGAGGTTCTGATAGGTTTTTTAAAAAAAAATGCAAGTACAAAGAGATTTGCAAAAGAAAGATATGGGAGGCTGAGTGTTTTTGCAAAATTCATACAATAAATTTAGTTCATTATAAGCTAAGTCAAAAACTGAAAAGCTACAGTTTACATAACTATAAATGTGGGAGGAAGACCTGCTTTAAAAGTGCTTGATGTTTGGGGGCAATGAGAACCCCTCTCCCTTCACTGTCTTGGTGGTTGTGCAATTGTATATGCACTGTCACAATCCATAGAATCATGTATCTAAAAAGGGCGAATTTTACTGTATGTAAATTTTACCAGTAAGTCTGATTGCCGCTCTCCCTCCTACCCCCGAACGGTCTGTGAAAGTGCATCAGGATTTCTTAAACAATTGAAGAAACTGGTTTGGGAGAAGAGTAACTTGTAGAAGCAGATTTTTGACACCAAGAAACAGAGTTTGTGGTAGCAGTAAAATACCTCCTAGAGTTTACCTTTGGTCTTCAATATATTTAATATTCAGTTCTGTTTTTTTCTGACCCTTTCAGTTGCCAAGGCCATAATGTCCCCAAAATTGCTTTGAATTCTTTGTGGGGGAAGAGTGTAATGTGACCTTAGGTGATAGTTGCCACAATAATTTTATAGAAAGTCCCGTTGTGTTCTACTAGAATAAATTCTACTCCTAGTGTAACATATTTCCACTTAGATCTTTATGGACTCTTCTTTGAACTATCTACTGAGAACATTTTAAAAGAAATTATACAGATTTTTTATTTTTTTATTTTTATTTTTATTTTTTTTAAGATTTTATTTATTTATTTGAGAGAGAGAATGAGAAAGAGCACGAGAGGTGGGGAGGGTCAGAGGGAGAAGCAAACTCCCTGCTGAGCGGGGAGCCCGATGCGGGACTCGATCCCAGGACTCCAGGATCATGACCTGAGCTGAAGGCAGTCGCTCAACCAACTGAGCCACCCAGGCGCCCTATACAGAATTTTTAAATGTTTCTTACCAAACTTGATATAGCCTGAGATAGGTGTTACTGTTGTTTTCTCATTAGTAAGAACTTTTCCAAATAATTTCATCACAGTGGGTTGACATTGAATCTGATGAGAATTAACAACATACGTTTTTAAGGTGTATTTTGACCCAAATACAAATAACAAAAGGATGCTTCCCAGTCATAGAGGAAGTTGGGTTACTTTAACTCCACACTGAGTTCGGTTTAACTGGACTCTCTCACAGGGTGTGTGTAACTCCCATTTGGTGTTGGAAGAGCCATCTTCAATCGTGCAACTGGATTATAGCCAGAAAGTACTGCTCGTGTCTACACTACAAAGAAGCCTGCTTTTTTACACGGAAGAAAAGTCTGTCAAGCAGATTGGAACACAACCAAGGAAAAGGTAAGCATCACAAGTGCACCAGCGTGGTGGTTACAGAGGGGCTTTAAGTTTTCCTAGGTTTCCTGTTTGCCATGTGCAAGCCCACCGTGGCTCTAAGCCTGGGGTTCCCGGTGGGTCCCTAACCTGCCCGGACACCTCATCCCAGCATCAGACAGAAAGAGTGTGTCCCTCTTGATCTGCTGCAAGAACCTGCAGGTGTGGCCTCCTTGCCTTGAGTGCCAGACCTAGGGGAATCTCCGATGTAGTCTGCCTTGGGTCCACCCCTGTGTGGGCGCCCCTCCACCACAGCCCTGGTGAAGGGCGAGAGCCCCTCTGCACTGTGTGGGCTGTGCCAGGCTTGGGGATAACTGGCAGACAAAGTAGCTGTGAGCCCACCATCATGGAAACTTAATAAACTCAGCAGAAAAGTTGCTAATAGTTATGTTACCTGCTATGGAGCAATGTGTGTGGGGTGCTGTGAAGCTTCTACCCGGCCTAGGGGTGAGGGCAGACTCCCCGAAGGAGTGGGCGAGGGAGGAGTGGAACTGGCCAAGAGGACTGGGGAAGGTCTGGAGGGGGTGGCTTCTAGGCTGAGAGATTGTCTCCCTCCCCCCCCCCCATTTACCTACCACCTGGAAGGACAGCAAGAGAAGGGGTCAAGTCCAGTTGCCTACCAGCCATGTGGGAAGAGGCAGCAGGAACGCATGGTGACCTCCCTGCCAGAAACACACTTGTGGAGCCCTGGGGCCTGGTTTACGTGGGTGTGGGGTCAGTGAGGAGGGACTAGGTAAAGTGGTGGGGCCACCACCTCATTCTGAGAGGGGCAGAGAGCCAAGTGGGGGCAGGAAGAGGATGGGCGCCAGCAGCTTGTGGATTGGGCAGCAGGATTTGGAGAAGTTCCTGGTAAAAGGGCACCATTGCCTATAGAGAATCAGAGGGGCTGGGTGGCAGGTGGGTGGGGAGTGTGGTGAGCAGGCTGACAGTGAGACATGGATTGGCTGCGCCCATGAAGGGAGGGCCCACGGAGGCTGGCGGTGACAGCCGGGCGGGTGACGGATGGCCCGGAGAAGGGCTCAGATGGGCGGAGGGTGGCAGCCCTTAGCTACCAAAAGACCTGGTCATGCCTCCCTTTGGCTTCCGTTTTCTATTCTGAATACCCCCTCAATTCCATCAACAATTTAGCCTTTGTATAGCAGTAGTCTCCCTATTGGCCCCCAGAAAACACAGTAGAATTTGTAGCTCTGGCTTAGGGGTTTTGCACATCTTCATCTTGCTTTTCCCTCTGCCAGCGTCCCCTCTTCTGCCTGATGTTTTGTCCTGACTTGTCATCAGTGTCTTTTTGGAAGGATAGTGGAGGGTAAAGAGAGAGATACGAAAACCAGTTACTTTTCACGTGGATCAGCCAATAGTCCTTCTCTTAAAACCTGGTCTTCCAGCCTCCGTCATGGAAACCTAAGCAAGTTTCCATGAGCCCCTCCAGGTGCACACGTGTAGTTGGTCTTTTGGCCTGTGCCGGGCACTGTTCTAGGGTGCGGATGCAAACAAATGTGTCCCCTTTCTCCCCGGGAAGTGTATTTCACTGAGCCCTAGAGGAGTGGGGATAACACAGAATAAATGGAAAAGTTGTTCACCCCTGGGTCTTAAAGGCTTGTTTTTCTGTGGTGTGCTGTGAGTCTGTGGTTCAGAAAGGGCGTCTGGCGAGTCTGCCCCCTGCAAGCAGTGTGTCATTCCGCAGGTGTTTGGTGTGCCTGAGGGGCAGCCGTGCGCGGTGGACAGCGGTGAGCCAGGGACAGGTCTCTGCCCTCAAGCAGGATCCCTGTGTAGCCTGCAGTGTGTGCTGTGGAGCAGGCAGTCAGGGGGAAGCCTTCGGGTGGGGGTGGCACGCTCTCTTAGAATGGTCTGGAAAGACTTCTGTGGAGAAGTGATATTTGAGCAGAAGCCTCAAGCATGGGAAGAGCTGATGGAGGAGCATTCTGGTCTCAGGAAACAGCAAACCCAAGGCCACCGATTGGGCAGGGCTTGCAATGTTCAGGGAGCCAGAGGGGGCCGGGGTGACCAGGAGCAGTGGGTTGGGTGCACTGGTAGAAAATGAGATTGGAGGGCGCCTGGGTGGCTCAGTCGGTTAAGCGACTGCCTTCGGCTCAGGTCATGATCCTGGAGTCCCGGGATCGAGTCCCGCATCGGGCTCCCTGCTCAGCGGGGAGTCTGCTTCTCCCTCTGACCCTCCTCCCTCTCGTGCTTTCTGTCTCTCATTCTCTCTTGCAAATTAATAAATAAAATCTTTAAAAAAAAAAAAAAAGAAAGAAAGAAAATGAGATTGGAGAGGAGGGCCCGAGCCAGCTTAGGGGTTGGTGGCTGGGGGCACCACGTGCTATTGGCCGAGTTATTCTAGGCATAACCAAAAGCTATTGAAGTGCTTTAGGCAGGAGAATGGCAACATGAGCGACGTTTCAGAGCTCACCCCTGGTTCTGTGTGGAGACTCAATTGGAGATGGGCAGGAGGGGGCAGTGAGGAGGGTACTTCAGGAGTCCCGGGACCAGGCATGGAGGCTGGCTCCTGGTGGTGGCCATCAGGAGGCGGGGAGATGGAGGGAGCTGTAATTTGGGGATAGCACGGGGCTGGATAATGGATTAGATAGAGGGGAGGGGAAGGAAAGAAGAGAAGACTTTGTGCTGGTGGCTGTAGCAGCTCGGTAGCTGCAGTGGGCACAGTGGGGCAAGCCTGGGTTTGAGGTCTAGACAGCCATTCTGTGGGGGGCAGCCATTCTGTGGGGGGCATATTGAGCTGGAGGTGCCTGTTAGGTAGCAGTCAAGTGGGAGTCATAGTGAGGAGTGACATCTACAGGCCTGCAAATCATTAGATGCAAGCGACATTGAGACCCTGACATTGGGTGAGTTCACCTAGGAACAGTGTTTATTCACCTAACATTGAAAAATCCTCACCGAGTCTCTGCTGTGTGCCAGGCAGCCTTCTCCATCTGAGGAGACAGCTGTGAACTGGGAAAACCTCTAATCGCGGGGAGCTCACATTCCTGAAGGGGGAGACCAACATTAAATATATTCTAGAATGCTCGGTAGTAATAAACCAGGATATGGACTAGAGAGGAGGGAGCAGGGGACACAGGTGGGTGCTCTAGATGGGCAGGCAGGGATGGCTCTTCCGCAGGAGGGACTGGAGCAGATTCCTGAAGGCAGGGCAGAAGGAGCCACCAGAGGACCTTGGAAAGAAGCTCTTGAGGCAGAAGCAGTGCGTGTGCCAAGCATTTGAGGGTTTGGAGAGCAGCAAGGCCATGTGTGTGTGGAGCAGAAGAGGGGCCAGGTAGGACCCCATCCTGTAGACTTCGTGGGCCTTACTCAGGGGCTGCTTTATTCTAGCACGCCAGCAGTCATGAGAGGCTTTGACCAGGGCAAGTCACCCTTGCTGCTCTTTGGAGGGGGCAGGAGTGGCAGCTGAAGGGGGCCAGCCAGGGGCTTAGGCCAGGCCAGGGTAGTAGGAATGCTCGGAGGGCAGAGCTGACAGGTGTGCTGACACGTTGGCTCTGGGGGGTGAGAGAGGGAGATTAGTCAGCTGAGCACTCAGGGGAGTGGCGGCACACTGGCCTAGAGAAGCCTGGGGGAGATGATAGAAGAGTCTGTTGTGGACAGGTAGCATGGTCTTCCTCCCAGGGGAGAGCCAAAGGGGCAGGTGCAGCAGCCGTGCGTCTTGGGAAGCAGGTGGGGCCAGGGCGCGCATTTGGGAGCCTGTAGCATGTAGACGGTCTTCAAAGCTCTGGGACGGACAAGGTCGCTGTGGGCGTGAGCATAGCTGGAGAAGTGGGGGGGGGTCTCTGTTCTGGGCTCTGGCAGAGACTGGGATGTGAGGAAGGTTCAGAGGAGTGAGAAGTTGGAGGCCACATGAAGGAAGTGTCACAAGGCTACGTCAGAGCTGCTGACGGCCCCAAGAGATGGCGTGAGACAGATGTTTGGATTTGGTGACCTGGTGGCTACACACAGCCTTGCTGAAGGAGAGGGGCCGAGGGTGAAAGGGCTGGAGGGAACAGGATCGCAGTGCTCAGAGACAGCTTTTTAGGGGGCTGGTTTTTGTGGAAGGGAACACAGAGGAGGGGGCGCCTTGGCAGGGAGTGTGGCTGGGTGGCTGGCGCTGGCCGGCACAGAGCACAGGATGGCGGTGCCCGCCGTGGCCTCTCAGGCCCGCTGGTGGGTGACAGCGTGGCCTGAATAGGGCTGGGGTGTTCTCAGCGGGGAGCAGAGCACTTGCAGGCAGGGGAACCTCGGTGGTGGGGGATGGGGTCGTCCTTTTCTGATGGAGTTTGTGAACCTCCTCAGACGAGACCAGCTAAAACACATTGTTACTCCCAGAAGACCTCAGAGCCCGCTGGCTGTTCCCCAGAAGTGTTGTATCTTTGCTCTCCTCGGGGTCTGTGTTGCACTGTTTCAGGTGGAAACCTCTCCCTACCTGTTAGGTGTCCCCTGTGGCCCTGTCGTCAGGGCCCCTGAGCCTGGCCACCCGTGTTGGGTGTGGACCTGTGGAGCCTGCCCCCCCAGCAGAGCCAGCATCAGGTTCTGGAACAGGGTCACTGCCATTGTGCCTGTGTGGTGGTCTGTGTGCAGTTGGCTGCTGAGCCTTTTGTCACCCATCTTAGACTTTCATTCTCTTGCCTCGGGCTCTCTGTCCACGCTCAGCATTTCAGGTCTGTGGCACCAGAGATTATACAGCACATTAGAAAACATTCCTTTCAGAGTGCCCGGCTGGCTCAGTCAGTAGAGCGTGAGACTCTTGATCTCGGGGTTGTGAGTTTGAGCCCCACGCTGGGGGTAGAGATTACCTAAAAATAAAATCTTTTAAAAAACCCCAAACAGGGGCGCCTGGGTGGATCAGTCGTTAAGCGTCTGCCTTCAGCTCAGGTCATGATCCCGGGGTCCTGGGATCGAGCCCCGCGTCGGGCTCCCTGCTCGACGGGGAGTCTGCTTCTCCCTCTACCCCTCCCCGCTCTTCCCTCTCTCTCTAAAGAAATAAAATCTTAAAAAGAAAAAAAAGTAGGTTAATTTAGTTAGGATTTTAGAACCCTATGGTGCCTAGACCTTAAAAGTTGGAGTCTGAGGGTCCACTTGAGAACGGACAGCAGCAGGTGCTACACAGTCATACGGCAGGTGGGTGGCACCAAGCCTGGGGTGTAGGACAGTTTACACCTCGCTCTAGCTAGTTGTTATCCCCAGCTTATCTGCCTTCCCCCCGCTGACCACACACCACACGTTCAGCATTTCCTTAGAGCCAGCCGCCCACCAGGACCCTCTCGGCATGTTCCTTCCCCCACAGTGCCCGTCCCCTCCTCAGCCAGGTAATAGTCCTGGGTCTAGCCCTCTCCTGCCCCAGTCGGGACACACCCCGTCCGGACTCCTTGGGCGGCCCTTTGAGCCTCAGATGCTCTTGCGGTGGTTCATACACATGCACGCATCTGCCCCCGTCTGTTCTTAGTCTGGGCCAGGATCTTGTCTCATTCATCCCTCACGTTGCCCATGGCCCCGGGTCTCACACAGTGTTTGTTCCAGTGAATGCTTTAGTTACCCAAGGTGAACAAATCAAAGTGGAAGTGACAAGCGATTTTTAAGAGAACCTATAAATAGATGGAAAACATTTAACAATTGGGTCACCAGACAGACATGGATTTGACAGGAAGGTCAAGAGGAAGAGGTTATGGACTGCCCTGCTAGAATTCCTTTGGGTCTATTTAGAGAATCTTCCCAGAACAAATCCACCAAAGGCAGTAATCAAACACGATGCTGATTATAGAGTTGTCCGTGAATGATCTACAGCGTTAGAACAGTCTTGGTTAATCTAACGATCTTCGTTTCAAAGCCGAATTTGATATTTGATATCCTCCTTGGGCCCTATCCAGAGGGATTTAGTTACTGTGCAGCCAGAGGGACCTAGAGAGATACTGACATGCATAGAAACGTCCAGATAACTCTATCTACGTGACCGTGTGGGATGGGCCCTGAAGACAGCCCCTCAGGAGGGCCGGTGCGCTGCTGCGTGCAGGGAGGGTGAGGAGAGAGGCACGGGGCCCGTGGGGAGCACGCGGTGCTGGCGTGAATAGAGCTAGAGGCCGATCCCAGCTGCGAGCACCTGTAGCCCCAGCGGTGCTTTTGTGCCTTCGTAGACTGGCTCACTTAATCTTCGCTTGAACCTTTGAGATGGGAATGATTACTCCTGATTTACAGATTAGGAAACCAAGCTCCAGAAAGGTTGCATAGCACAAAGCAAATGTCGGAGCTGGAAATCGAGCCCTGCTGTCAGTCGAGAGTCGGTACTCTTTCCACTGCTTCAAATCAGGGAAGTATTTTGGAAACTCTTGAACTTTGAGCTCTGGTAGGAGCCTGAGATTGGGCAAAGGTATGGGACCATGAGAACTCAGAGGGTCGCCCAGCTGGCTCAGTTGGGGGGAGCATGCGACTCTTGATCTCGGGGTCATGGGTTTGAGCCCCACATTGGGTGTAGAGATTGCTTAAAAATAAAGCCTTTGGGGGGAAAAAAAGAATTCAGATTGCTGGTGGGAGCATAGGTTGGTATAATCACATTGTGAAAAAAGTTTGAAGTTGTCTTTTAAACCTGAAGGTGGTCAACTCAGCAACCCAACAGTTACCCCACAGAGCAACAATTCCATCTCCGGGAGATCCTGGGCAGACTCTTACACCTGCGTGCTAGGAGGTCTGCATGAAAATGCTCGTAGCACGTTGTTTAAGATAACAAAGTAGAAATAATTCAAATACACATCAACAAGGGAGTGAGTAAAAATATTGTGGCAAACTATGTAGTGGTGAAAATGAACGAGCTATAGTTTTTTTTATTAGTAAAGATAAATCTTAGAAATACAATGTTAAAAGCAATTTGCAAAAGTATACAAGTAGCATCATACTTTTTTTATGCAAATGAAAGATAATACTAAAAAATATGTAGTGTTTAGGAATACATAGGTATGTGGTTAAATTATCAATAATAGTAGAAGCAAGGGAATAACAAACAAAATGCAGTCTGTGGTCACACCTGGGGAACGGAGGGGCAGGAACATTAGGAGCATCACCCGTGTCCCTGATGATTTATTTCTGAAGTTGAGGGAGTTCCCGGGTGTGCATTTCATTTATTAGACTTCATAACTTTTATATGCCTATAAATGTGTGTGTGTGTATAGTATAAAATAACATGTATTATTTATATAATAAAACATTCTTTTGTGTTAGGTATTTCATAATTTTAAAAATAGAAAACTGCCATGCCTGGGGACCAGAGGGAAGCTGGTCCCTGTGATGGGTTCAGACTCAATGGTAGGCATGACGCTCATTCGCTGGGATGCTGGAGTGAGTACAGCAATCAGGCGTTAGAAGGAACAGAAGTTCCAAGCAGGGAGAGGATGGTCAGACCTGGATTTGTGAGCTTCTGCCTCATTTTCTCTTCTCTGAGACAGGAGCTGGACTCTTTACGTCATGGGGCTGCTGTGAGGATTGAGCCTGAGGGTGGGGACAAAGCCCTGGGCACAGCACCAAAACGGGTTGCCATGAGACAGGCTGCACGCTCAGCGGGTGCACACTTGCGAGGGGGCTACGGGGAGCAGAAGACACAGAGATGACAGCGTCGTTCTAGTAACAACAGAACAAACCATAGCAGAGGGTTTGAAAAAACATTAATCTTGTTCGGGCTTATCCAGAAAATTCTCATTAGAGTTGATATCAAGGGTTGACAACTGTCACTTTAAATCAGTTCATATCGCTTCTTTCTTTCTTTTTCTTTCTTCCTTTCCTTTCCTTTTCCTTTTCCTTCTTCTTTTTCTTTCTTTTCTTTCTTTTTTGTAATTTCAGCACTGGGAAATTTGGAGCTTGTTTTATACCAGGACTTTGTAAGCAGAGTGATCTGACCTTGTACGCATCACGGCCTGGGCTCCGACTGTGGAAGGCAGACATCCATGGGACTGTTCAAGCCACGTTTATCTTAAAAGATGTCTTTGCTGGAGGGGTCAAGCCTTTTGAACTGTACCCACGTCTGGAATCCTCCAACAGGGGAGGTTGCAGCTTACCTGAGAAACACCTGGGGCTTGTTTCGTGTTTCTTTCAAGAAGGCTGGGTGTTGAGTTGGAATGAATACAGTATTTACCTTCTAGACACCGTCAACCAGGTAAGTGACATGATCGCACCACATCTTGGGTGTCTTTACAGTGTTTATCTACAGATTATCTCTCAGAACGATAGAAGGGACAGCATTGATTCTAATGCTTTACTTTTTCCTTTGGGCCAGTCAAGGAAATCCAGTAAGGGTCTGATTATTTTATAGATTGGTTTTGGTAGAACCTTCTAGCTGTTCTGCCTCTAAGCAGGAGTCTCGTCTGCCTGGCATGGCTTCCCTCATCTGGAACTTGAGGGCAGGGTGAGCTGGGCTAGGGCCACCAAGCTGCCTTTTAGCCCTGAGTTGGTTTCTCTTCTTAAGGAACACTTTGAAAGGCATTTTTGTATTCTTCTCCACTTATAGACAACTTAAGTTTTTTTCTTTCTCTGGGTACTCTTTGAACTGGATGTGCTCTTAGTAGTCAGTGGGGTTGAGAGGTTTGGTGACTGTGTATCGATTCCTTTCTTCTGAGCCCTTTACCCCAGTGCTTTCTGTGACAGGTGTAATTAACTTCATGAGACAAGGGGCTGTCCATGTGCACACGTGGCTGCCATCAGAGTCTGTGTGGCAACATGATGGGCAGCTTTCAGATTAGTGGCATGTTTCTAGATGTTCATCAGGATTATTTAAAAATTAACAGAGGGGCGCCTGGGTGGCTCAGTTGGTTAAGCGTCTCCCTTCAGCTCGGGTCATGATCCCAGGGTCCTGGGATCGAGCCTCACATCTGGCTCCCTGCTCAGTGGGGAGCCTGCTTCTCCCTCTCCCTCTGCCTGCTGCTCTGTCTACTTGTGCTATCTCGTTGTCAAATAAATAAATAAAATCTTAAAAAAAAATTAAAATTAACGAAGAATTCAGGCCCTTTTTCTCTCTATAGTGAACTGCCTCTTGTTTGTATTATTAGCCAAAAAGAGAATGTTTTAAAATCATTCAGACTCTGGATGTCCTGTTTTCAGATGGTGTTAGGGGCCTCCTCCCTCTCTCCATTCATTCGGAGCCATGAATTGCAGTGTCCACTTGTCTCTCCCGCGGGAGTGCACACAGTAGGGGTCGAGACCGGTCAGCACATCACTCTAGACCAGGAGCAGCGTTCCCTGTGGGCATTCGTACAAAGTGCTGTGAGCTGGGACGAGTCCCGGGCAGTGCCACCGAGGCTGAGCTCCCCGGGGACTGTTTCCCGAGGAGGCGATGTCTGAATCAAGTTGGAACTCTCCCAGTAGACAAGAGTCAGGAAAGGAGTTTGAGCAGAGCCGTGGCATCCTGGAGGAACAAGGCCCACTCCGCTCAGGGCACCTGAAGCGCAGACCAGGGCAGCTGTGCGAGGCTGACAGGCAGGTCCTGCCAAGGAGCATGTGCTCCATGTGCTGGGGGGAGGGGGCGAGGCAGGACACGGCTCCCAGTGCTCAGAGGTGCGGTGAGCTCTTCCCTCAGGCTCAGGAATTCACTGGCAAGGTTTATGACTCCAGGTCATGTATCTGTCGGATACTCCCTACCTTTGCGTTCGTTTACTCTTAAGAAGTTTCAGAAAGTGGGCCCAACAAAACACAGGTGTCATTTGACTCATTTGGATTCCTGCCCATGTCTGTTTGCTTTCAACTATTACTATTGCCTGGTGGTGTGATTTTCTTTTCTTTTTTCTTTTCTTTTTTGGACAGTCCACAATTGCTGGTTTGGAAGGATCAGGTGATATCGTGTCTGTTTCCTGCACAGAAAATGAAATATTTTTCTTAAAGGGAGATAGGAACATTATAAGAATTTCAAGCAGACCTGAAGGACTGGCATCAATAGGTTTGTATTTGTTATAAAATGTACCCGTGTATATGTAATTGTAGTTTATAATTTATAAACCTTACCATTACTTTGTTAGTTAAATGTAGCTTTATTTAAACAAGGAAGTATTAGGAGGGTTTCCTATGTTTTTTTTTTTTTAAGATATTTTGTTTTTAAAAAAAAAGATGTTTTGTTTCAGAGAGAGAATGTGTGCGAACAGGGGGAGGGGCAGAGGGAGAGAATCTCAAGCCGACTCCGCGCTGAGTGCGGAGCCCAACTCAGGGCTTGGTCTCACAACCCTGAGATCATGACCTGAGCTGAAACCAAGAGTCGGACGCCTGACCCACTGAGCCGCCCAGGCGCCCCGCTATGAGTCATAAAAGATGGTTTACAGTGCTTTTCTTGAAGCTTACCTACTTTAAGGCTCATATCAGACAACCTCACATTTGGTAAAGTGGTTCCATAGGTCTGGAAGCTGGGGAGGCCAGACGAGTAGTGAGGAGAACTCAGCACCCACATGACTGGTCGCTGGTACCTGACTCCACGTGTGGGATTAATAGTTCCAAAGATAGAGACTTGCCAAGATTTTAGAACATGGAAATCTGTTATCTGGAATATATCTTTTACCCTCCACACTGTTACTCCTTACAGCACTGGTCATTCTCTGTGCTGTTGACTTTTCTTTGTAATTCATACAAGCCCAGATTCTAATGAGCAAAGAATCTTAATACGTGTTCTCATGCACACATCCACGGTACTTTGTACACTTGGGGCTCATCAGTGAACTTGTTCCTGCTGGTGACAACAGCCATGTGGGGAGGAGGAGGAGAGGCCTCTCTGTCACTCCCTTTGTTCTCACTATGTTCCAGAGACTGCTGAGCACTTAACAGTCATGACCTCGTAAAATCCTGAACACAGCCCTAAACGGAAGGTACTGATTCTGTAGACGAGGAGACCGGGGTTTGGAAGTTGCAGTGAGGTACCAAAGACACCGCCGCTGGGGGGACGTGAGCAGCACACCAGGGACATCCGTGTGGCCCCAGAGCCCCCGCGTGTGTGGCCTCTGGAGTTCACGGAGCAGTCTCGCAGGCGTCTTGGTTGATGCTCATGACAAGCCTGTGGGAAATGTGAGGCAGGTAGTCCTGCCACTGCCTTTCCCCAGCCAGGCCGCCCTCCTCCCGGGGCTGGGGGCAGCCTCGTCCCTTCCTTGCTTGCAGGCCACCGCGTCTGAGGTGGTGTGCAGGGCGCCCCCTGCCACCGCCCGCTGTCCCCAGGGCCCAGGCAGGTCTGAGTGCTAGGTGTGTGGTGCTCCCCGACGAGGCCTACTTCTGTCCGGATGCTGCCCTCTGTTCTCTCCCCGCTCGTTATTTTAAGACCCACTTCAGGTCTTACTGTATCTTTTTTTTTTTTTTTTTAAAGATTTTATTTATTTATTTGACAGAGACAGAGACAGCAAGAGCAGGAACACAAGCAGGGGGAGTGGGAGAGGGAGAAGCAGGCTTCCTGCTGAGCCGGGAGCCCGATGTGGGGCTCGATCCCAGGACCCCGGGATCATGACCTGAGCCGAAGGCAGTCGCTTAACCAACTGAGCCACCCAGGCGCCCAGGTCTTACTGTATCTTTTGATACTTTTCCTGAGTGCTTTAGTTAAGTCAGCCTCTCCCTGTCTTCACTGGAGTTCCCAGGGGCCTCTCCTTCTACCACTCTTGTGACTGGGGAGCCGTTTACTTACTTACCATGTCCTTACCTCACAAAATAAACTTTTTGTTGCAAGGATCTTGTGGCTCAGCTTTGTGCCCTGACACAGCACGTGGCACATAGAAGCCCCGAGTGAGTGAGTGTTAATCCATGGTTTCCCTGTTCCACAGATTAGAAAACCAAGGACTGGGGGGTAAATGACAAGCCCCAGATCCACCAGCCCTGCCTTCTGATTTCTGCTTCAGCCAACGTTTCTTCTGCTTCTTCTGCTTGGCTACATTGGTCAGAAGTGTAGACCTTTTGCTGTAGCCATGGGCTTGGGGGTATCTTGGCCCTGGGGGCATCTTTGCTATGACTTCTCTCACCAGCACTAGCTGGTGTCTGAGTCACTGCAGGAGAGGGAGTAGAGGTCCTGGACCCAAGTGGGTGGGCCAGTTGCAAACCCGAGGCCTTCTAGAGTGGGGAGCAAGGCGAGGAAGAGGAGCTCCAAGCGGCAGGCTCCTGGGCCCCCAAGCGTTACTAAGCATTTTGTCTTTCTGTAATGTTAGAATACGAAGTGTAGTTAGAAGGAAAGTATCCCAAACAGTCTCTCATGAGCCAGATATTTAGGACTTGAAAGATGAAAATGTCATAAGGGCTATCTTGGCCCCAATTTTACGGTCTCTTAAGAGATGGCGGGGTGGGGGTGAATTACTTCTTAAGTCAGAGGGTAAGTCAGGATAGCTGCCATTCCAGATTATAATTTCTGTGGAAAGTGAATAAGCTCTGAGTCTTGAGTTTATGAGGGGCACCTACAGGGTGTGGTCAGGGGCGGAGAGGCTTATAGGAGGGAAGTAAGCTCCAGACCTAGCTGTTCAGTGGGGCCTCTCTGCGGTGATGAAAACGCTCAGTTTCTGCACTGTCCACCAGTGGCTGAGCGCTTGGAATGTGGGGGGTGCAACAGTATTAAATTGTGTTTGATTCTGAATTTAGCTGCACATGACAGTGGCGCTGTATTGGACAGGACAGCTCTAGACCAAGACCTGACGCCAACTGTGTGATCTTGGACGAGTTGCTTCCCTGGCCAGGCTTCACACCGAGCACAGTCCTGCCTGTCTGTCCCCAGTTGTGCACACCGCAGCCCCTAGTCTGCGCCTGACCACCCTCACAAGGGACAGCAATTCCCATCTGTCTGCTTGATGGTCCCGGAACAGTGTCGGGCACATAGTGGATACTCGGTATCCGAGGGATGGCTGAGTGGATCGAAGTGGTCCCTAGTCCTGTTCTACGTAGAGGGTACTATGGATGGAACTGTTATGGCCATGGTGACCTTGTGGTGTTGTGTTGAGAAGGACGAATCCATGAAAGTGAGAAACTTGCTGGCTCTTGTTCATGGGCACAGAGCAGGGTGACTTGACCCTCCACGGCCAGATCCTCACGCCGCTCTCTGCTCGAAATGGACACTGACTTCGTTAACGCACTTCTCTGTCCTGGCTTTGTTCTCGTGGAAATTCCCTTTCTCCCCTTAAATTTCAAGAAATACAGGTACACATACATTTTTCAAGTGCCTTTTGAGTTCTTTTATATTTAAGGCATGATCTAAGTAGGGGATATCACTAAGCCCTTTTCTTAGGTCATTTGTCTTCTTTAGGAATTATTTGTGAATTGATGTGAGAAATGCCGTATACTTAGTAGTGTCCCCTTCCTATTGAGCTATTTACAGAAAATAGCCCTGACAAACCATTTTCCTGATTTTGGTGTGTGAGCTTCCTGGAGCACAGAACCGTTTGTTGGACTGTTTTGTGTGATTCTTACAGTTTCGCCAGTCTTCTGAGTTTAGCAGGCAGGTATTTAGGGTTAGCAGATCTGAATAGGAGCGTGTCGACTTTCTTGGATAAACAGCAGTAACACCCCACCCTTCTTTCTCAGGGCGAGATGGTCTGGAGATGCCAGGATGTGCAGAGCAGGCCCCCGGGCAGCGTGTGGAGAAGCCGTCGGGGGCCCCGGTTTCTGAGACGAGGCTCAGGGGCTCTTCCGTGGCCAGTGAGCCAAGGAGCAGGAGCAGCTCGCTCAACTCCACCGACAGTGGCTCCGGGCTCCAGGCAGCTCCAGAGCTGGGGAGGGGCAGCCAGCCCGCCTCACAGAGATTCAGCGTGATTAGCTCAGAAGACTTTGACCAGGAGCTTGTCGTGAAGCCTCTGAAAGTGAAAAAGAAGAGGAAGAAGAAGACAGGTACCATCCGTGGCAAAGCACACACTGACTCCTGCTTACTCAGGGGCATTCTTAGACACTTTTTGGGAGTGCTGCTTTCACTGAATGAGCACTTGCCCATTCAATGAGAAGCAGAGAAGGCCTTCAGAAAGCAAGTGTGTTCTTTCCTCAAAGGAGTTTTACTGTGAGATATTTCATGTGTTAAAAAAGTACCACGCACATGGAGAGCACCTTCATGAGGTGTAAATAATATAACAGACACCTGTGTACTTACCATCCTGCTTGATGGGTCTGGGTTTATACTTCTCAATATTTAAATAAAAATTTTGATATATCCATGTATAGCATGTATTAGACCAGAGAGGCTATGAGCCTGGATGGAAAGTCATGGAAACAGAAGATCGATGCTGGTGTCTAGATGGGTCATTTTACATTTAGTGTTGGATAGGTTACCGGACATGGGATTTAACATAGAAATGGTTGAACTTTTTACTCCTTGGTTCCTGTTAGGCTTCTCGAGCTACACATACTTACCAGATTGCTAAGCATTTTAATAATTTTAAACAACTGGTCTGCAGTTCATCCTTCCCTTTGTTTTCCTCCGTTAACATTTCTTGAGTGGGGCCTGGAGCCCATCAGTGTGTCTGATGTTTGCATCCATTTAAAACATCTCTGCATGGGGATAATTCGTGCTTGAGAGATGTATTCTTCACCACTTAAATATCCTTCATTTAAAATGTATTTTTTTTCTTGAGCCAAAATTGTGTTTGTTGGTCTCTTACTCTTTATGTGGAATCATACCCCATTTTAAACATTCTTATTTTAAATTAGAAGGTGGAAGCAGGAACACGTGCCACAGCTCCCTTGAATCGACTCCCTGCTATGAATTTCCGGGTGACAGTCCCCAGTCCTTGAGCACAGACCTGCTGTCCATGACCTCAAGTTTGGGCAGCATCGTGGATCGGTCGAGCACAGAGTCTCCTGACCAGGAGAGTAACCTTAGTGGTGAGGTGAATGGTGTCCTGCAGGAAAATAATGACCCCGAGGCATTCAGTGTCCTGGAGGTGCCGGAGCCTGCCCCTGACGTACTGAATGAAGGGAATGGCGACAGAGCTGGACTCCCACGATGTAACCGTGCAGACGACACAGAGCCACACAGTGCAGTGTGGACTTCACTCTTGGAGCTGAGGGAAGCTGTGGAAGGTAGTGACGTTACAGAGCTCATAGAGGAACCTTGTCCCGCAGACGATGAACTGAATAGCAGACAGTCACCCTGTCGAGAACAGGACAGCTCTGCTGAGGCCCGGGAAGCGGAGGACATGCCTGATGTCCCCCAAAGCACTTTTTCTGAAGTCCCCTTCCTGGACTCCCTCCCGGTGCCTTCCAGCCTCAGCTGGGTCCCCCATGCCGAGCAGCGGCTGCCGGGGACCAGAGCTGACAAAGGCTGTGCTGAGGAGCCCAGCAAGGAGCAGGGCTTCCTCACGCACATGGGGGGTCCCGGCCACCTTGGCTCACATCCCTGGCACACTGTCACTGACGGTGACACAGGCCTGAAGCAAATGGTTGCGTTGGAATGTGACACGGGGAGTGTGGGAGGACGGCTGGCACCCCCGGTCTCCGCCTTGGCAGCTCACACTCGTGAGCCTCAGCTTGAGCAGCCTTCACGGGACCAGGTGTTGACGTCCAGTGACGAGGAGGACATCTACGCCCACGGGTTGCCTTCCTCTTCCTCGGAGACCAGTATGACAGAGCTCGGTGGTAGTCGCTCTCTGCAGGACCTGAGCCAGCCTGGCGCAGATGACACTGGGCTGCTAAAGTCAGATCAGGTGTGTGGGTGTGGGGTGGGCCGGTTTCCTGAGGGTCCACCCAACCCATGTAGTTAAGGATGGTTATTCTTGGTCATTTTACATAAAAAAGAGATTTTTTCAGAGTACTTAGTTTTCTTAGCAAGTGATTATAATTCAGTGTATTTGATTTCGAAACTAACCAGGTATTATCACTTCTTTTCCTACTAAGTCGTTGTGAGGTGTGGATTATGAGTGTGAACTTATGTGTACTTTCCCCAAATGTACCGCTGGATTCTCTCAGTGCTAATCACGCGTATTGTTTGGGTAGCTCTTGCCACGTGCCGGGCAACATGCTAAGTACTTTGTAAGTTCAACTCATTTACTTCTCTAAGAACTAAACAAACCATGAAATAGGTACTGTGTGGTCCCTGTTTTACAGTGGAGGCAATCGAGACTTAGTTACATGGCTTGCACAGGTCACATAGCAAGTGAGGGGCAAGGCTGGCCCCGGGACACCCCCCCTCAGCCTCTGTGCTGTCCTGCCTTGGCAGTGAAATGTACTGCTTAGTTGTTTGGCGACAAATGCCAAAAGGTTAGACCTTACACTCAGTTTTGCCTGTGCCCATCCTTTCTTGAGTGCCTTCGGCTGCCAGCCTCCGTGTTCAGTGTTGGCTGCTGCAGGGTGTGGATAGCCAGTCCGGATCTCAGAATCTCAGGGAGGAGCCAGACGTGCATGTCGATCATCTCAGTTGAGCAAGACTCTCGGCCAATGGTGGCGAGCCAATGCAGGGCTCTGGGAAGTGTGAGAGGGCGCCTGCCCAGGGATGCACTGGGCAGGCCGACCATGTCTCATGGGGGCGGGCTATTGGGATTCTAGGCCAGAACTTTAGAAAAGCCCTCCCCTAGGTGAGAGGGAACCTGGCACTTGGAGGACTTCTCCCTCCCTTCATGGTTCCCCCCCCTCCCCTTCCAGTAGCTAGAAAGCCAAGAGATTTTTGTGGCATTGGGGAGGGGGGCTCAACATGGGGTGCAGGGCTGAATTGAGAAGGGGCGGGTGCCATTCTCTCTGAAGCGAACTTCCATATTTGGGTGATTGTGCAAGCACATTGATTTTCCTCTGTAGTTTCAGAAAACTGTTAAAACTGCAAAGACTTCGTTTAGCTTTGATTTTTTTTAAAGAATCGTAGCAAGAAAACATCAGTCTATAAAGTTCAGCCAGACTGGGTGTCTTGGCCAGATTTCCATCAGCCACATGATGTGTCCTGTGTCCAGTGATTGGGACCATGCTTAAAACCCGAGGGTAAAGACACAGAGATGGTGGTAGTGCTTCTCATCCTCGTGCATCTGCAAGGATCCGATGCACAAAACACGGATCTGCACGTTGTATGAAGTGCAATACACCTGTGCGTAAAGCTAGGTCATTTTTTTTTTAAAGATTTTATTTATTTATTTGACAGAGAGAGAGATAGCAAGAAAAGGAACACAAGCAGGGGGAGTGGGAGAGGGAGAAGCAGGC